CCAGCTTAGCTCTGCTTGCACTTAACAGTTGGCTCTAAGTGCAGAGGGAATCAGGGGGACACAGCATTTCCATTTTCTGCTTTACTGCACACAGAACTCTCAGTGGTTGTTGCCTCCCATAGGTTCCTAGCTGGATAGCACCAGTTCTTACTTTGTCTCAAGTGTCTTCAGTTCTGGGTGAATTTTGAAAGGGAAGTTTGGGGAAAAAAAACCCATACTTAATTGAAAAAAGAAAATGTGTGGTGTTTTTTAACCAGGATTGTCTCTTTTAGACCTGCACTCAATAGTTTCAATCAAGGCTTTAGACATGCAGAGTACTCAGTGTGTATTCAGTACCAGTCACAATGAGAAATTGAATATTCAAATGAGCTTTAGCTCAGAGATTCCTTTTCAGATTGAAGCAGAGTAGCCCACAAGTTGTGGCTTTATTTGAATATTTTTTCCTTACAAATCAATAATTCCCTCCAGAAGGCTGTTCATGTGCCACTGCTGCTGAGATTTCAAAAGTACCCCCAAGTTACCAAAGGAGTGTTGGTTCCCCAACTATATAACTTAAACCAGCAGAGTTGTTTCTCATTGCTGTCTCAGGGAAACTCATTTTTCTTTGAGAATAATTGCCCTGCCCTTGGCACTGACACTTTGGAATTCGTTAGAGTGCTTTTGATGAGTGGCTGGTTATTTTCTTTGAATAGCAAGCCTATCTTAAAGGCTTTTACAGATACTAAAAAAATGACACAGTGAGGTATTGTAACCCATTCTTCCTTCCTCGTGCACCTTTAGTATGGCAATGGCTTTTAAAAATTAACATATTTTAAAATTCATAATGTCAGGTTTTCCTCCATTTTGCTTATTTGTAATATGAATACAGCACAGTTCCTGTTTAAAAAGGCCCCATATGTGATTTTTTAAAGCAATAGACTTGAATTTGTTTTGTTTTCTGGATTTAGCTTTTTTCTTCTGTAAACCTGTACAAATCTCTTCTCTTCCTTTTCAGCAGCAGAAGTGGGTGAATATCTGCTTTATCAAGGGCTTGTGACATTAACACAGAACAATTACAGATAATTGCAAGGGTTAATCTCCATATAAGATATCAGTTACCTGCCCTGGCTGTACACTGGATTTGCTGGGATGCACAAGGCCATTTTCAGCATTTAGTAAAGTGCCTCTTTCTAAACTCTGCATATTTCCCAGCTCAAGCCCAGTTTGAGGCCTGAAATGAATTTTGAAACAGAAATCCCTTGAAAAGGCAGAGTTAGGGCTCTGTGTTCCCAGCATGGCAGAGCATGGCTTGTTTGTAATCAAGGTTTCTGCTAAAGAGAGTTATTTACTGAGTGCTAAAAACTGCTGCTTTGCTTAAACACTTCCATACATGGAAGAAGTTCCATAAAATTTATTTTAAGTAAGCATCTGCTAAATATATGGGAAATGCTGGAACTCCAGCAAGGTTTTGCTCAGGAACAGCAGAGTCACTGTGATAGCTGGCTCTTACCTAGTCAGGATGGATTTGTTCTGGAATCCAGTCAACATTCCATCACTAGGAAAGTATTTCTGGGGATTTTAGGGGGTTTTTTTATGGGCATTAAGCAAGGTCTTTTATTTTCTTTATTTTCCCAACATTCTTACAAAATTACTCAATGCAAATAAGAAGTCTGTAGTACATATTTGTGTGCTTTCTTGTGTTTATCACCTACATTGCAGTTGAATATATATTTTTAATTTAAAACAATATTTCAATACATGATGGAGTAAATGCACAAATAAACTTTCTGCTTCTGTGCAACCAGAAACAAAAAGGTAGTACTTCTCAAAAATAAATTTAGACCTTTAAAATTATTTAACTTTGATTCATGGAGAGGTTAAGCAGTGTAATTATGACCCATGGGTGTGCTGGAGTTCAGGTCTTTCAGTATTTCCAGTCTGGAAGGGTTTTAACAAGTCAGTGTGAAGGCCAATACTAAAGATGTCTAGGAGAAAAATGACATTTTTAGGGGTTTCTGATAAGGGTTTGGGGGGATTGGCTTTTTGGTCTTGTCAGCATAGGAAGGTTTTCTGTTGCAGTCCTGCAGGATTCAGCTCTGTCTGGTTCATATTTTTATTGTTGGATCTGCAGTGTAAATTCTGTACATGTCCCTTTGCAGTTCCAGTCAGGCACAAACCCCAAGTGATGACTTTTTGTCAGCCTTGTGCTGTTGAAAGGCAGAACCACAACATTATCCAGACACAGTTTTCCTACCAATGTCACCACAGCAAGTCCTGTCAAAATCATTCATGACTCAGTGACAGCAGCTGAATTTAAACACCATAATTTTATCCTTTAAAATTCACCAAAAAATGAGTAAAATGTACCAAAACCCACTTATATACTTTATTTTTTTCTTTGGGATCACATAAAGCTCACAAAACTCTGCCCACTCTACTGCCTCTGCTTTTTTTTAGTCCTAAAATGAAGAAAAATGAACTTTGCCATCATGTTAAAAATGAAACTCATGTATTTCCATGTTAAAAACTTACAGAGGTTTAGAGAAGAGGTTCCCTTATGGCCCTGTTGTTGTCCCCTCATACCAACATTCTTGATACTTATTTTTGTATATATAGTTTCTCTTTTTTGTTCATTTCCAAATGAAGTCTTTGGTCTCTGTAGCTTTTTACCTGCCTATAAATCAGTACCTGATATTTTTCAAACAAACTTACATATTTTCCTCAGGAAAATTCCTCTGTTCCTCCAGAGAAACAGAATATTTATATCAAATACTCAATAAATTCAATACCTTCTTATAGAATATTCATACTGAGGAAGAATATGAGCCTTTATCATCTTTGGCTGGGACAGATAAAATGTGAATAGCTGCAAAGCTGTTTCCTATGAATGCTGTGTTTCTCAGTGATGAAGCATTACTGATGTGAATGTCTGCAGACTGAGGCTGAAACCATTGGAATATGAGCTGTTTCTGTTGTACAACCTGTGTAGATGCAGACCTTATGGAAAGAAAATTGTTTTGCATTTTGCACTCCTACAGAAATTTTGAATTACTCACACATGGAATTCACGTGGTTTTTGTTCTTCTCTGCTCACAGGATGGACAGAACCCAGGTCCTCCTCCACTGATACCAGGCCTGGGGCAGCAAGGAGGACAAGGTCGTCTGGGCCCTCACAACCAAGGGCCTGGTCTTAATAAAGGTAATTTAACATCTTGTCTGTTCTGCTGGGAGTCAGTCTCCTCAGAGAGGGGCTGTCCCAGTGCAGTGCGCCCAGGGAGAAATGGCTGCAGCACAGAGCAGGGCCTTGGCTGAGAGAAAAGCTTCCATAGATGTGGGCTGGGATAGACAGGAAACATTTTCCCAGAAATATTGTTTCATGTGAAAGGTATCCCATATGCTTTCTAGAACTGTATGAACTGAATGGAGTT